TGGGTTTTGTAGGTGTTCGTCTTCCAGGATGGCAACGTTTAGGGAAGCGATGATCTGATTATGGAAATAAAATGATTTTTGATTTGTTTCTCTGAAAATAAAAAGTTTATTCTTACTTTCATGAGAAACAGACTGAGAAAGGCAAGCATTCCTCAGCTGGGTCTCATGCCATGATCCTGCCCTGAGCCTCTTCCAGCCAGTCGGGATTATGGGCATGTGCATGTGGACCTGTGGACCTGGAGTGCACAGGTGGGCCCGGGAACCAAACCCCTATCTTCTATATGACTTCCAGCATTGCAGAAGGTTGTTTGACTGCTGCATCACTATGGCTGGGCCTGAAATACTCCTTTTATAAGATAAAAGGAAGCCCTCTGGGACCAGCAGGTGGCATGGTGGTTAAGGTGCTGAGTTCCACATGGCTGACTCCATGGTTTGAGTCCTGAACCTGGTAGCTTGAAAATTACACTGATCCCATGGGCATGCGTGCCCAAAATCCTTAGAGGAGAATGGAGAAGGGGTTGCAGTGTGGCCATCCCTCCTAGGGGATCTCTGTCTCTCTCTGGTGAGTGCATGCATCCTATGGCAAATCTGGAAAAACGAAACAAAACAACTACACAGCAGCCTGATTACATATTTAACACTAGATATTGTAGATCTAGTCATCCATTGAACAGATATTTGAGTGTCTGCTTTGTGCCAACCACTGGGAATTCCAGAGCCTCACAGAATCCTGCTTTGCATTTTAATAGACCTTAGACAGTAAACAAAGCCACACAATAGATTGACCAACACATGTGACAAGTGCCATGAAGAAGAACAGAGTAGGGAATAGCAGATGATGTAATGGTTACGTCACTGGACTCCCACAGTCGATTGTGGTTCGAGCCACCAAGACCTGGTGGCTTAAAACTCACACTGGGCTGGGGACCAGCAATTGGCGTAATGGCTATGTTAGTCGACTGCAGTTCAAGTCCCGGACCTGATGGCTTAAACTCACGCCTGGTGTGTGTGTGTGTGTGTGCGTGCCCAAGATCCCAAGAGGAGAATGGAGAAGAAGGGATTGCAGTGGGGCCATCGCTTTCAGTCTCTCTGTCTCTTTCTGTCTTTCTGGTGAGTGCATGCGCCCTATAGCAAAAACCTCTCAAAAATAAAACAAAACAAAACTCACACTGGGCACGTGTGCAGGTGTGCCCCAAATCCTAAGAGGACAATGGAGGGCAATGGGTTGTGGCATGACCATTCTCCCTAGGGGGTGACTTTTCACCTTCTGTCTCCTTGTCTCTCTGGCGAGCACACACACCCTATAGCAAAAATCTCTCTAAAGAAAAAAAAGAAGAACAGAGTATACTATGTGAATGTCAGGGGCATATAGCTTAGGTGGAGGTTAGGGAAGGCCTCTCCAAGAAAGGTCCTTGAGGTTGAGACTTGAAAGATGAGAAGGAGTTAGGCAGAGGTCAAAGCAGGTGTGATGGTCCCAAGGTAGAGAAGCACCAGGAGAGGCCCTGATGACCAGGGCTTAGTGGGAAGGTGACTTGAGGAGAGTGAGAGGGAGACACCAGCTTCAGGGTCCTCGTTAAAGATTTGGGGTTGATCTGAGGACACTGCTCTCTCCCACCACAGATATGCTCGTGATGCGTGGGTTCAGATGCGTACTGTTCTCTTTGACTCAGGCTGCCCTTCTTGGAAACAGACTTTGCTGATCCAGAAGCATTGCTAATCCAAATAGTGAAGTTTAGGGTCATTAACAAAAACAAGTCTGGGGGGCCGGCAGGCGTGCTGGTTAAGGGCATTGGATTCCCACATGGCTGGCCACAGTTCGAGTTCTAGACTTGGCATTCTCACTTTCCTTCTCTCTCTCTCTCTCTTGCTCTCGCTCTGTCCCAATCTGGTCAAATGAAAATAAATAAAGTTAAGTAAAATAATTCTTAAAAAAAAAAAAAAAAGAGCCTACATTTCCCTTTAGATGAAAGGAAATATATATGAAGCACATCGCTCAGCCTTCTCAGGAAGGAGTCAGAAAGTGAGATTTGTTTTTGCTGCAGGGACTGAGTGGCTCAGGCTGAGTCCCCTGCGTGGGCTGTGAGCACGGCCCATGTGAAATGTCTTGTCCCAGTGGCTGGATGAGAGGGCCTGACCTCGTTTTCTAAAAGCCAGATCTCTGGCAAACAGATGATGGGAAACCCAGAAAGGAAGGTTAAGAGGTCGGGACCTCTACTGGTTTCCACATCCTGCCACATTCCGGGAGAGTTTTGCCTGATAAAGTCATAGCATGTTCTAGCCGGAAGGGACCTCAAATATCAACTCATCCCTCCTCATTTGTTTAAATTTGTTATTTAAAATTTATATATATATATATGTGTGTGTGTGTGTGTGTATATATATATATATATAT